ATTCTGAGAATAATAAGAAAACCAATATAATATAATATAATATAATATAATATATAATATATTAAAATATATTATATTAAGAGCTCAGTTTGTGTCTCACCTTGCGGTTGGAGTAGCAGGGACAACGCTGCCCCCTGCAGGTCAACACTGATGGATTCTGCGTTGCTCTGCCGCACTTGCAGCCTTTCTTCTCCACAGGTTTCTTGTAGAGCGGCTTGGAGGGGCTCGGTGGGTGAGAGAGGGGGTGTGGGTGTGGTGGCGCCCTGTCGCGGGGCTGGGTGCGCGGTTTGGGGGCCCCCTGCCGGCCCTTGGCGTACGGCTTCTTGTTGGGCCCGTGGTGCTCCATGGTCTTCTTCAGGGCCTTGTTTGGGACCAGAACCGTCTTGCCGACCTTTGGGGGGCCACCGTTGGGGACCGGCGCCAGGTGGGGGTGGGGTGCGGTCGTGGGGAACCTGGGCTCGTGTTTGGCGGTGGCGGCGTGGTGCTGCGGGGCGGGGAGTGCGGGCCCCCGCAGGAGGCTGGTGATGTTGAGGGGCTGCACCTTCTCGCTGTCGCTTTCCGAGCGGGAGCGCTTGCGGTGGCAGCGCGGCGGGACGTGGGGGGCGACGGCGGAAGGCTGGGGCAACAGGTGGGGATGGGGCAGGCGGGGGCCGCTGTCCAGGACGAGGCAGGCGGGGTCGAGGCGGTGCGGCCCATTCAGGGTGGGGTAGTCGGGCTCGGCAGGGTCCGTCTCCAGAGTCCTGAGCACTTCCTCCACGCTGAGCAGCAGAGCCCCCCCGCCATGCTTCAGCTCCTCCCCAAAATGCCCGATGTCGCAGAGCCCCGCCCCACCACCGGCCGCCACGCTCACACACACCGGCAGCTCCTCCGAGAAGCCCTCCTGCTTGGCCACGCCCCCGCCCGTTTCCACGGCGACGGGCTGCAGCGAGTCCGAGCCCACCAGGCCGTTGCAGTCGTGGAGCCCGTTCACCGTGGCGCCCCGCTCCTCGTCTTTCACCTCCGTCGGTGGCGAAGCCTCGTCTGGCGCAGTCCTAGGCAGCGGTGACGACGACGACCCAGAGACGACCTCCGACTCCGGCTCGCTCTCGGCCAGCGTCAGCCCCTCCTCCAGAATGGCCTGCAGGTCCGGCGAGTCGCTGGCGGCGCTGGCGAGGTGCGGCGCCAGCGGCGACTGCGTGATGTAGAGGCAGAGCTTCCTGTAGCAGCGGACGAGCAGCGAGAGCTGGCGGTTCTCCTCAAAGCGGGCGTAGTCCTTGCACCAGCTGCAGGACGGCTTCAGCTGCATCCTCTGACCTTTGCAGCCGCGGCAGACGTAGTGCTGGCAGGACGAGTTGGTGGGAGCGATGGGGTCCTGCAGCAGGTTACCTGGGAACGACGACAGGAAAGACCTGTTACAGGAGATAGCTGCTAACTGGCGTTAGCTTTATCACCAATGCCGGCTGATGCATATTCTACACATTCCAGTCCCACCAAAATATCATTTATTTTTATTTCCATAAACGACTCATTTATTGCATTTATAATAATCTTAAATGTTCAACAAACAAATAATTCAGATTTTTGAGACAATCAACACATTATTGTATAACTGCGAAGTGGGAGGAAAACTATAGTTTTTTAAAATATTTTTTTATATAATAAGAATCTAAAAATTGTACAGCTGAATTGATCGATCACATTAATCGTAACTAATCTATTGAAATAATCGTCAATAATCGTCAACTGATTAAGTATTCGATTAATCGTTAATACAAACTGAAAAAATAACAACATACTCGAAAAAGTAATTGAAGGTGAACTATTATGCTTCCTTGAACAGGTTAGTATCGGTCTATGGTCTATACGAAAAACATTACATTTTTTGCACAAAATTACTCTTAGATAATGAGATTCAAGTCTCATCACTTCTGCCTAGTTTGAACTGCTTTCGGAATTATACAACAGTAAATCTTTGACAAGCAAAATTGGAGCCTCCTGCACAATCAACAAGAATCCAGCTGGTGGTTTCTGGATGGTGAGTCAACAACTAAACTCTTGTCTTTTCCAGCAGCCATTGTACAGCGCATATAGTGGAGAAACCAGCTTACAAACCATGCTGGAACTCAGTTTGGGTTGCTAGGCAACAGATGGAATTCCACTGGGGTTGCTAGGTAACGGGTGGAATTCCACTGGGGTTGCTATGCAACAGCACAGTGACCATTGAATGAGACTCTACTATCAGGAAGATTTTGAAACGACACCAAAAAACAGTAACTTATTGCCAAAAACCACCTGGATGATTTTAGTCAAGTGCTTTAGTTTTTTCTATCAGTATAAAAACATGCAACAAGTGAATTGTGCATACTAGCTCCCTTTAAGGTCATTTTTCAACCTTTTCCAGACCTCATCTGGATCCACAGATGAGGTCAGAGAATCTGTATTTATTTGTTCAAATGGCCTAGTCATAATTCCCATACAGAATCTATTACAAGAATAAAAAAATAAGTGTTTTTCACATTGACTGAATTCTTGTTGCATAAAATCCCAATAAACTCCATTTAAAGTTGAGCCAACAACTGGATCAAAAATGTAAACGTGTGTGAATATTTTGTGTAAGTCAGGAGGGCAGCTCATCCTGAGGAGATTCACACTTTCACAGGCTGAAGAAACAGCAGTAGGAGAATCTAAATCCTTATTTAACCTCCTGAGCGTTGCTTGGCGCGCTGCCGGACGGAGCGACAGCTGCTCTTTGAGAGGAGCTTCCTTAGCAACGCCGGCTTTTAAAGCACGCAGCTGCAGACGGGAGAAAGGAAGAAGGTCCATTCATAAGAAACAAGTGAGCACACACTCCGCCGACGCCGCCTCCCGACGACAACGTCTATATTTAACACACAGCTCAGTCGGCTTTCACACTGATGCATTATTTACAGACGCAGGTTATCTGTAAGCACTGAACGGTCAACATGGTGGAAATATTTCAGTTCTGTTATTTAGATTCTCCTCCAGTTTATTTTAATGACTGGAAGAGGTTTGATGATTGATCAGGTTCTGTCTGGGTTTTCAAAAGATACAGAAGTAAAGGACAGATAAAGAAACGGTCAACTGAAACAAGATCTCCAGCAGATTAAGGTGATTTACAAGTTATGAAAAAAACTGCTTTAAAAAGAATAAAGTTGTAATAAACACTGCAAAGATCAGCAGAAGTTTTACAGATCTTTGAAAATCAGCTGAACAAAAACAAATCAACCAGTTTTCTCTGATTTGTAACAAAAACATTTTATTTTTACTAAAAATTGATCAAAACCACAAAAATGCATTTTAAAACTGTAAGTCTTAATATCGATAATAATTATAACTATTTATTAATATTCCATAATAATCATAATAGTATACATTACTATTACAATTACTACTCTCAGATATAGTAATAAGACTATAATATTATATACTAAATTATTATATTACAGTATGCTACATATTATTATATACTATAATAATATACATTATTATTCAATAATAATATCAGCCATTATTATTACTATGGTAGTATTATGATTATTTTTAGTAGCATAATAATTATGACAATAGTAATATAAGATTTTATTATTAGTGTAATAACTATGAAATTTAAAATAATTAGCATTATTTTATTATTCTAATAATATTTTTAAGTATTTGGTTGGTTTTTACATATAACATTTATAAATAAACACAAATTCTGTTTAATATCAATTAGACAAATCAAAAACATTTATTTACACAGAAAACATATCTGTATTAAAAAAAAATCATATTTTTAAAAATAATTTAGGCAATAATTGTCTTTATTTGTTCATCTATTTGTAATAATTAAGTAGACAAAACAGTGTTCTGTTAAATAATGTAAACAAATGTTTAGTTTTATTATTTGATATGACTTGAGAAGCGGTGAACAGCAGACGTGCTGGTCTATTGAATGTAAACATCCGCAGCAGCTGCCAAAACGCCACACAGACGGGGGTGTGTCATGGTGCATTCACTGCACCTAGGAATTCAGAGCTTCAAAACTTGGACAATAGATTATTTGTGTTTCTCGTTCATATTTTTAAAAGTACAACTTCAGTGAAAGACGTGGAATAACAATTCCTGGAAAACATTCAGTTTGAGGATTAATTTTTAACCAAACTATGTAAATAAGCATAATTGATTAGCTACATTAAAAAAAAGAACAATTCTACATATGACGGAATGCTATTTTATCCAACTGCTTAACGTTTTAGCTCTGTTAAATTTATCAAAAAATATATTTCTGGCTGGAACAAATAGCAAAGCTCCAACCAATATGACACGCTCTCATGTTTCCGACAGTACCTGAATGCAGCATAAATTTAAAAGCTCGCCCCCACTGTCACATTAACTGAAGAGAGGCGGGGGTAAAAAACCTATTTTATTCCAAAAAATAAGACATTAAAGCTGTTGAAAACGAGGCAGGGGACTCACCACAGACCAGGCAGGACAGGGACTGGCGGAAAAACGGTAAAACCTTGCAGAGCTCCGCCAGCTCCCGGGGATCTCCGGGGTCGCACTGCAGCACCGAGCGGCTCGCCGACACGTAGAGAGCGGTCGCATTCACCGGGTTCATCTCAGCTGGCTGGCTCGGTCCGTTTAAGTGGATCAGTACGTTAAAAACACATGAAAAAGAAAGGGAAAAAAGAAAGAGAGGAAGGAAGCCACACAGAGATAAATTAACCCCCGATCAACTCCCGCTTTCTGTGAGGTAAAAATATTTGTCGAGGGAGTCCGGCGGCTTTGGAGAGAGCATAGATGGAGGCAGGAACCTCGGTCAGTTCTCCGTCGGTAAATCCCACATATATAACAGTCTGAGCGCAGAGAAATCCCGGTTACACATTCCCAGTCACATCCTTGGCGTGATGTCCCGGTCCGGGGGAGAAGGAGCAGCTCCTAAAAGGGCCTACCATGCACATAATGTCGGTTTATCCTCATCAGCTCCGGTTGCTTCCAAACGACATGAAAAATAAGACAGCTAAATCCGGACTGGAGCCCGTTTCCTCCACCTTTTGACGCTGCTTTCGCCCGGTTAACTCGCAGCAGCTCCGAAATTCACATCATAAAGTGCTCCGGTTTGTGATGTGCTCCGACATATGAATCCATTATCCACATGCATTTTCCTCCCGTGTTGTCCACAGCTTGTAGCGCATGATGCATTAATTAAACCCTCCAGTTGCGGTGCAGCCCCGGCGGCAGCAGGCTAGTTATTTATGGTTGTGTTATTGTTCGCAGAGATTCATGGCGGCTCGAAAACAAAACAGGCCGCTCCGGGGTTTAAATGGTCCTTTTTAGGTGAGAAGTACCGGCACCCACGGCTTAGCGAGAGGGGGCGGTGAATTGATAGATTCCTGGTATAAAAACAACAGCAGTAAAAATAATTAAAAAGCTTCGCCGGTTCTGTCGCGGCAGAGAAAAACAAGCGAGCGGAAGCACCGGGCTTTCCTGACAGCGCAAGCCGCCTGAGCTGCACCGGGAAGCCGGCTACATAAGCAGGCCGCGTCCCCGTTCACGGGATTAAAAAGATTCCTCCAGTCTCAGTGAAAATGTAACAAAGAACAGAAAAAATTGACTCCTCTCGTAACTTTTACTGGACCGTAAGAGTGTCAGAGAACACAATATTAAATTATTTTCCCCGTTGGTGTTCGTTGCTATCATTAGCCGCTGTGCTGCTTCTCCACACACAAACAAGGGGGCGCTATTGACCACATCTCGCGAGAATACACGTGAGGTGGTACATTTTACTAATATAATAATAAACGGTTAATTTTTTAAATATTTCTGTAGATCAAGTTGATGGGAGGGAAAATATGTTTCTTTTTTAAAATACGGAACATAGGGAAAAGAAAAAAAATGAATAAATAAACGTATAAAAATATTTTTTCCTACATTTTCTTCTACATTTCTGATGTAGAGGAAAAAGTATTTGGTTTTCAGATTTTAAACAAGATATTTTATTTGGAATAACTCATTTAAGCTCCAGAATTGAAAAGAGAGGAATAGAAATACATTTATAAATGAAAATGAACTGTCTTATAAGTTTGTGAAGGGTGCAAAAACAAGAAATAACATAGATATGAATATAAAATATGGCAAAGATTAGATTAATAGTATAATTAAGGTAGAGTTAAAACAAAAATGGCAAACACAATGTGACATACAAGAAAAAGATTAATATTCTTGTATGAAATGTAGAGAAATGCAATATTACCTGCTTGTGTTGCTAACAGTAGTTAGCACAACAGTTAGCATTTCCCACTGTTTTAACACGCAGTGAGTTTAGAGTTAACGTAGCACCATTAAGTTGTGTTTCGTATCACTCCCTGATATTAAATCAAGTTTATGAGGAATACCCCATTAGGTCTAACTGCATTACCAGTTGATTTTATTAAATGTGGTTACTGACTGAGCTGATGACAATGTCTTTCCTTGCTTTTAAGGGAGCACATATGATGTCATGAAGTCTCTATGAACTGAAAATAAACAACATGTTTGTGTTTTTCATCCATTTGGCAGCCATACTGAATTCTTAAGCTGCGATTGGTAAAAAATATTTGGCTTCCCATGTTAAAATTCCAGCTAATTGTTTGAACTTATTGGCTATTTCTAAACTTCCTGAAGAGTATCTTACACATCTGCCTAGTCATTAGAAATTTGCTAACACCAATTGAAACTGTTTCTCTTCACATAGTGTACATTGCTTTAGTGCAATACTTTAGGTCACAGTCCCACGTAGATTTTCTCAAGCTCTTTAGCAATAGACAAAGGTTGTGAAACATTCAGTGACTCCCTGGTGCTCTTGATCTAATGAACTTTTATTTCCTAATTTGGCGTTAAAGGTCAGAGAATACTCACAGTTAAATATTTCATAAGTAAAAGGACTCTTCCTCTTTTGTCTTTAATATTTCCTAACTAGTGAAAGCTTTCAAGGATATTAAATTAGGCTAATATTCAGATGTAATTTTGTATTTTTTAACATTTGGTATCAAAGTCTGGCAGCTAGTAAACTTTGCAGTTGATCACTGATTAAATGTTGATCTGAATGGTGGAAAGTTTGAGAGTATTGACTCATCTCAAAGAAACAGTGACACACGTTGCAGAAATTTACCGTATTCATGATGCAAACATGCTGATAAGATCTACTGTATGTGGGAATGTTTCTCTTTCATATCATCTTCTAATTAAACACATAAATGCCCACTCTTGTTTCCAAACAGAGAGAAATTCGGGCAGATATAATGCATTAATTGAGTGTTTTGGGGATATAATTTGCATCAAAACTTTCTATTATCTGCAATGTTTCTCGCTAATGTTGAGTTTTATCAGGATAAAATGAATTACCATGTCATTCAATCAATCAATCAAACAAACATCAAGAGAAATAAAATACCTTTTGAAGTCAGTTAAATATTACAACATGAAGCATCCACCTTTAATTTATGAGAAAAACCTTGAAAATAAGGTTTTCAGGTTATTTCTGATGCAGCTGGATGCTGACTTACATTCCACACACGTGAATAATTCTCCTTTAAATAACATTCAGTGTGTCAAACAGCAGTGACTGTTCTTCAGTCTATTACAGTAACAAAAAAAACTAAAATACTTCACTGCTCATTCTTTCAGTTTTAACCTCAGTCTATTTTTTCCATGTGTGACAGGAAGTTTGATTCCACGTCTGGCTTTCTGCACATGCTCCATTCTCTTGCTACAGGTTACAACATCGTCTGCAAATGTTTTCATCCAGCAGGCAAGAATATCAGAAGTTTATGCCTGAATTACTGTAAACAAGATTCCTGAAGTATCCCGACCTCCATGACTCCTGCAGCACACCTCACTACTGTCTCACCACACCTCCTACCTCTTCTACGATGCCTTGTAGTGAATACGCTACTTTCTTGTGGTTATTGAGCTTTTTTTTTTAAATCGAGTTTATTTTTATAGTACATTTCAGCGAAACACAAAGATACAAAGTCATCAACAATTGAAACGTTACACTTTGCCATGTGGCATCATTAAACATGACAGTGTTGGTTAGTGTTTTATTTATTGTGATGCAAAAGCAACGTTAGATTTAAAAGAACAGCAACTGGACGTTTTCTGATTATTATTTTCACTCCCAGCATCACATTTAAAACAATTTACTTTTCTAATTTATTTACAAAGAGGTGATTTTTTTAAATCTTATTATCCTCTGACTTTGTATGACACATCAGTAGAGGGTCTATTTTTTCTGATCATTGGGTGAGGAATAAGTGTTTAATCGTTTTGCATTTCCTTTGTTTTGTTTTTTCTGGCATCATTTCTGCTTTTGGTCGGCAGAGAAGAACAACAACTGCAACATGACTAATAATTTCTGTCTCACCGTCACATTTCTGTCAGACAGAACTCCAGCCTTAAAGGCACCAGAACAGGAATATAAAGGATTCAGCTTTATTCTGTAACATGGAAAATTACATGCAGATATTAAAAATAAAGGATGTCTCTAGAAATATTGCTCAAAAAATAGCACACTGCAAAAATATTCAATTTTACCAAGTACTTTTGGTCCAGTTTGTAGAGCAAATATAATTATATCATAATTAAAATGAGGCAAAACTAAATTACTATAATTTTACAGCAACATATCTGAGTTTGCTTTAAGTCAATAATTCCTTAATATTGATGAAAAGTTCCTACTTCTACTAGCAGATTATTTCATTATAACATGGGAAAAATGTCTTGTAATAAATGAAATAATCTGCCAATGGAAATAAAATTATTTCATCAATAATAAGGAATTACTGACTTTAAAAATCTCCTATATCTTGCAGAAACTTTGATTGTAAATCAAACTAAGATGTTTCTACCAGGAACTAGACATTTTGTGTAATATTTTGTTTTTGCAGTGTGAAGGAAACCCAAACAGGTGATTCTATCAAATAATCCTAAACTAATGTATTTTAACTTTTGAGTTTTAAGAGAGTATAAAAATATCTAAAATATTCAGTTTCCTGTTATTGTGTCCTTAAGAGAAATCATTTAAAAAATCTTAACTTCCTAAAAAAGGAAAAGTTTTGTCTGATTCAAGGTTGGATGGTGATAAAAAAATAAGTTTTGTGTTTTTAAATGTTGTGACTGACTTTAACTGTAAAGCTTTTCCTTACGTCGTATTCTGTGAACCGTTTTCTACCAGAGGTATCGTCATACTGACGAACTTTTCCAGATAACATGATGAACTAACGGTTGATTGTTTCTAAGTCGTCTATGAAACAATCACATTTCCAGTCCCTAAGAATAAAACCAGACGAGTATTTTAAGCCTCTGTAGTTACATTAATAAACTAAGACGGTTGTGTGACGCTGAGGGGAATTGCGTGGAATATGTCCCTGTTCAGATTGAGTTTATATGACACAAAGGTACGTTAGGGATTCCCTTCAGTCACTAATCCTCCAAAAAACACGTATCTTTGCAAAAGTATTTAAATTCCTTAAGCTCTTTCAAATTTTTTACATTAAATCTGCAAACTTTGCTATGTTCATTGTAAAAACTCAAAATCTTACCAAGTACGATTGGTCTCATTTCTAGAGTAAATATTTTAAAACATTTGAAATAAGACAAAACTAACTTACAAATAACTTTTCAGAAACATATAGGAGCTTGTTTTCAGTCAATAATTCCTTAATATTGATTAAAAAAAATTGGTTTTGTGTTTTTTACTTGCAGATTATTTCACTTATAAGACATTTTTCCCATGTTACAAATGAAATAATCTGCCACTGGAACCAGCACTTTTTCGTCAATAATAA